AACTGCGTGCTTCTTCAACTCAACAGAAGCCTGTCTTAATAGACCGATGATGTGGTTTCGGGAGTCCCCACGATAATCGTGAGAGTTGGCAAGCATATCCAACGATATATAGACAGCAGCGGCGACTGTTGCTGCTGATACGGTCCACACTAGCCTGTATACTCTTGGGACCGGCTTCGCATAATGATCCAAGATGCGGTTGGCCGACTCAAGGGCAAGCTGCCTGTAATTCGTGCTGTCATCCCTGGATTCTTGAGGGTTGAGTACACGGGCGATGGACAACAGGAGGAAGTCGAGAACGTAAGCAATCAGGTATCGCTGGAATGGAATCCAATGATACTCAGATTCCCATATTATATCATCTTCGTTGGCAGGGAAACCTGGTGATAGATGGAGGGGTAGATCTCGTCGGACGGCAGTGATTTCCTCGATAGCCTTTACAAACTTCAAGTGAGTCTGGTGAGTATTTGCTTTGATGTAAATGTATATTATGTAAGAAAGACGGGACAAGATTGAGTGGTAATGTGCAGGAGAAGGAGGCTCTAAATTGGTAGACTCGGAAGAACCAGGGCTACCAATCGTGTAGAAGCTAGGCATAAAGTATTCTCCATGGTTGCTTGCAATTGAAGTCTGACAGCAAAAACTAGCGGGTGATATGGACGGCGGCCGAACCCAGCTCCCAAGCCTGTACGGTGTTTATTAGTGACACGGTACTTGGTGATATGTATTTTACAGTGATTCAGCACTTACCAGTCCCGAATGACACAGGTCCACCACAAACGACGACCCAGTTCGCGCTGCACAGGTGAAGACCATTCTGGTCTTCGACAAATGTCCTTTGAGCAGTTTGCTTCGTTGCCAAGCTTGTGCATGTCGAGGAGCCTTGCCATGCTTGTTGCAAAGCTAGAAATGAGCCATTCCCTTTGGTGCTCGCCAAAGTTGGAGTGGCATAGGCTCAATACTACAATGGCCTGCACAATGCAAAGTGACGAAGTACCGCTGAAGCCGTGTCTTTGTAGTTCCTTCAGTGCAGCCTCATACCAGAGATGAGAAGTATCAACAGCGACGGAAATAGGATCAGCACGAGGCATGCCTAGCTGAGGCAGGTGGGCTGCACTTGGTACATCTTCCGGGTCGGAATAGAGGATGCCAACAGCCAGGACAGCAAAATAAAGAGCGACCCATAGCCTTTGTTCGGTCTTGATGCCGGCACCAAGTTCTACATTTTTCCAAAAGTCGTGATGCTCGGCCAGGAAGTCGTTGGCGTTGACGGCGCAGTGTATCCAGCCAAGTGTCTGCAGGGAAAAGGTGACAATGCCAAGGCTAGCCTCCCGACTCGGAAGAAGCAGAAATAGTGGATCAGCTGCGGGTTCGTAGAGACCATTGAGGATCGCTTTCTCGGCCCCGGCTCGGGCGGCTGCACCCACCTTGATGCCGAGATCGAACTGCTCAAAGGCGGGAACTAGGTCCTCAAGTGTTGCTGCAGGCTGGGTGTAATCTGTGGATTCACTGGTGCGGCTGTGGCCACATGGCTTGGACAGAGCAAGGGCTGTCTCGAGCTCGGCAATTTGCGCCTGGAGGGCATTGCGTTCGCGGAGCAAGTCTTGCAGTTGAATGTCTGCTGGGCTGCCAGCGTCTTCGGCAGTGTAGACAGTCAACTGGCCCCTCACCCGGGCAATCGGTCGCTTGCACTCATGGGCAGCATTCCTGCGGATGCATGGCTGGCAGGGGCTCTTCTTGTCGCATTTGATTTTGCGCCGCCCGCACTCGATGCACGACCGGGACACGCGCTGCGAAGTCTTGATGGCAGGCTCACTCATTAGACCGTGGGTGTTATTGTCGGTGTTGTTGTTGACTATGGTTATTATGATGATCCTGACTGGAATGATGACGATGACACTGATGATGACGATGATTTGCTGACGAGACGAGCATGACTGAGGCTGAAGTTGGCTCCCACTACTACTAACCTACCGCTCGGGCTTCACTTCCCCGCGAAACGATTCCCCCCTGGCCAGACCCACCCATCCCCACACCCTAAACCCGCGCCCTCCACAATCCGTACGCGTACTTATTGGGCTGGGCGGCTCAGCTCGGGGGAGATGTCAAAGAGCACTCCTCTGTCTGTCGCATCGACGAAATGCCCTGGCCACCACAGCGACGCCTACCCGAGGCAGTCGGGCAATACAAATTGTCCACGACGCCATGTAATTGACCCTCATCAACGCCTTCTCATCATGGCTGCTCACGACCCCAAGTCCGAGGCCAGCGCTCACATTGAAATTCTTGATGCGCACAAGAAGGCTGCAAAACCCGTCGTGGGTACCATCAGACTGTTCGATGACGACGGCATCGTTCTCATCCCGACTCCGACCAGAGATCCCAATGGTGAGCCATAGCCAGGTCGACGTTCAATGGCGAAGCCAGTCTGACCGAGACTAGATCCTCTAAACCTTCCGACATGGCAAAAGTATCTCATCCTTGTCATCGTCGGCCTCTTCGCAGCGTCCGCCAACCTCATGGCAAGCGGAATCAGTGCCATTCTGCCCATAGTCAAAGCGTCGTATAATGGAGATCCAAAGACAAGCGACCTCGCAACTTGGCCGGCATTCTTCATGGGCGTCGGAAACCTGATTGCGATTCCCGTTGCTCATGCTGTCGGGCGAAGGCCAGTCTACCTCCTGTCGACAATCGTCTTGTCTTTCGGCTGCCTCTGGTGCGCATGCAGCGGCAGCTTGGCCTCGCATATCGCCGGGAGAGACATCATGTCCATCGCTGCAGGCCAAGCTGAAGCCCTCTGTCCCATTATTGTGCAAGAGATTTTCTACTTGCACGAGAGAGGAAACGTGATTGCATGGTTTTGCGCACTCCAGACGCTTGGCACGGCAGCGCTTATTGTCTCAAGCTCGTACCTCGCAAATGATCTCGGCTGGAGGTGGTGGTATGGTGTCTTTGGTTGCCTGAGTGGAGCTATTGCTGTTCTCAGTATCCTCTTTGTAGTCGAAACAAAGTACGAGCGCACACTAGAAGCACTGAGTAAGTCATGGCCAAATTCACTGTTTGGCTCAGATGCTAACATTGCACAGCTGGCCAAGGTATCGACGAGGACGGAACGCTGGTTCCGGTAACGACAAACACAAAGCGTAAACTCGATACCATCAATTACGCTCCGCGTAGTTTTGTTCGAGACATGCTACCCTGGAATGGTCATGCACGATGGTCAGAAGCAATCACCTGCTGGAAGCACATGATCCAAATCATTTGGTTTCCCAACATTCTTTGGCTGACCTTGATCAACTCTGTGGCTCTCGGCATCTATGTGCTCATGTCAGCACTGTTTGCCGGCGTCCTGGTACAACCCCCATATCTCTGGAACTTTGATATGCTTGGCTACGTATTCGCTGGACAAATCGCTACTGCGGTCGCCGTTCCATTCTTCTGTGGATACTTGAGCGATTTGGTAGTCAAAATTTTGAGCAAAAGGCATGACGGCGTCAGTCAACCTGAGTATCGGTACATTGCTCTCATCATCCCACTAGTATCCACACTCATATCGACAATCATCTTTGGAATGACTGCGCAGCACCCTAAGGATTGGAGCTGGGCAGGCATCGCTGTTACGCTCAACTTTGAGTACTTTGGCTTCGTTGGAATTGTCGTATCCAGTTTTGTCTACTGCATGGATGCTTATCCTCAGCGCATCGATGCTGCTCTCGTTCTCATCTGCTCTCTGAGAGGTTTCATCGGCTTCGGAATCTCATTTGGTACAGTCAGCTTTGTGGAGAAGGCCGGGTATGAAGGCGCATTCAACATCTGCGCAGGTATCGTAGCAGCCTCGATGGGTCTTGGTATTCCTGTGTACTACTTTGGTGCAAAGATTCGTGCAATCACCCAAAGGTTTGCTCAGGATGATTGAGTATTGTTCGAATAGTACCTGGGTCTGTTTGGCGAATTGTTAGTGTATAGCGTGAAAAGGTAGGTGACCGGCATTGAGGAGCTGTTGTATACGTACATGTATATCTCTAGATAGATTATGAGAAATGAACTCCACATTGGAATAACCAAGGTTCTTTGGGAAGTCAAACATGTATGTTACTTGTCTTTTTTTTGCTTCTTTGCTTTGTCGAAGACTCTCGCGCGACGTCACAAAGGGGCGTGTGAGGTAGGTAGAGTAAGTACGAAGTAGTTATGTTCTGTATGTATGGCGGTGCCAAGCCAGGCTTGGGATATCGATAGCGTCACGTGAGCCCACTTGGAAATCAAAGTACGCGAACACATAATAACTATGTATAAATATAACACATCATTCCTGGTTTTTATGGTACATACGACCATAGGCGAAGTATCGAATTGGGTCCCGTTCGCTCCCCAGACATTAAACCTTCGACCGGCGGACTAGTAGTCAGGTGGGTGACCACTGGCGAATCCCCGCTGTTGTATGTTTTTGCAAGTTTTTTTTGTTTCATCTGTGTACGTCACTTGGGCAGGATCGTGATATAAGAATATATTTAACGATTAGGAAATGTACTGGATATTATCTTTCAGGGACTTCTACACATCGCATGTATGGCCTTGCAGAAAGTTGACGTCATGTGCAGCGCTCTGTAAAACTTGTATTTTGCTCCCTTACTAGTTCTTCTACTTACATCCCAGAATCAGTTTGTTTTCAAGTACCTTGTCCGTCAAGGCAGTCACTACAGACACTATTTGGGATTTATCAAAAGTAGGGATATACCAAGGATGATATTGAGCAATTCACGGACCGTAGTAAATAATAGAAAATAGAAACCCCTCAATCCATCCAAGGCACAACCACCTCCACATGATTGTATCACTATCCTGATGTGCCCTGAACATTTTACTGAGTAAGGAATTGACCTAACATCAATAGCCCTACTCTGAAAAAAAAAGAATAAAGCAACCCTCATAACACCCCCAGACATGGACGTCATTCACTTCCCCCTCTCTCGCTCCCCGCATCTCCCCTCCGATCCATCAGCCTAAAAATCCGTCTTCCCACCCATAACCTTGGCCGCATTGACCGCATTCATCTTGGCCGCCCAGCCCTGTGCAGGCACAATCTTGCGCACAGTCCTGACTTCATCCGAGGCATAACCTGGAATACGAATATTGTAGTTACGCTCGAGAATGACCTGAATATCGCGAATGTCTAGCTGGGGAGAATCGCGGAGTTTGGAGAGCTTGCAGGCATTGCTTATGACGTTATCAACAAAGTCGTCTGCAAGCTGGAGGACGGCCTAAAAAGAATGTTAGTCACGAGGTCAGTGGTTTTTGGATAAGTGAAAAACTTTACCTCTTCGACTTCAGGTGTGAGGGCTTCTTCTGAGCCACCCGTAACTTGGCGGACGAGCTCGTCTAGCTTACGCTTGCTGAGAACTCGGTCGCCGTCGCCTTCGAGCTGGAAGGGCGGTGGTCGCGGGATAACGGGCTGACCCATTGGTCCTGGCGCACCGTTGGTAGGGCCACTCATGGTTGGCCGCGCTTGACCCATGTGGACAGCTTGTGGTGAGGTTACGTTCAGGTGTCGAGGGATCGGCATCTTGGGGTTGTTCAGTTGCTCGCGCTCGCGATTGCCAAAGTTGCCACCTTGTCCACCTTGCTGCATGGGCGTGTTTGTGCGCTGGGGGTCAGTGTAGGATCGGTTCGCAGCACTAACGGCAGCCTGGTGAGAGAGGGGAACTGGCGGACCGGTTCCGGTTGCAGACTGTGGGTGCGGTGAATTGCTCTGCTGGTGTGCGTTGGCTTGCATGGGGTTGATCTGAGGTCGCTGCTGTTGGTGAAAGTTTTGTTGCTGCTGTTGCGCGAATTGCGGCATTTGATTTGGCGGCATTGTTTGCGAGTGAGGCACTGGTGGCCGAGGCTGCTGTTGCTGCTGTTGCTGCTGCTGTTGAGGAAGTGAAGGTGGCATTTGCTGGTTGAGTTGCTGTTGCTGTTGCGGTGGTTGTTGCTGGTTCCCTTGGTTTCCCTGGATGTTGTATTGTTGTTGGGGCTGGGATTGCTGAGGTTGTGGCTGTTGCTGCGTTTGCTGCTGCGGTTGCGGTTGCGGTTGCGGCTGCTGTGGCTGTCCACCCTCAACCTTGATCTGAGGCTCCTCTTTCACCTGAGGTTGCGCAGAGACATTAGGTTGCGATGGTTGTCGTTGAGGCGGCTGGGGTTGAGATTGTTGTTGCGACTGCTGCTGCTGTTGCGGTGGCGGCGGTGATTGTGCTGAGTTCTGGCCTTGGGTCTGCGCCTGTGCCTGGCCCTGTGAGTTCTGCTCGCGCTCTTCCTTCCACTGCTTCTGCAAAGCTCGAAACTTGTCGATTTGCGCCCTCATATTGGTATGCTCCTTCTCAATCTTGCCCTTCAAGACGAGTAGATCTTGTGGCAAATCTTGTCCGTTGCTTTGTCGTTCGCTCAGTTGTTGCATGAGTTTCTTTCTACTCTCGTTCAAAGAAGCCTGCTTCGCTAGCATGTTCAAGTAACCCGTCCGATATTCTTTCAGCTTGACCTCATACTCGGGCGTGCCCGGCGAAGGTCCGGTCAACGGCCCCTGCATAGGAAATTCGTGGACGTGCTTTACTATAGCAGGATCCACCTGACCGCGACCTTGGTTTTGGCCTTGGTTTGATTGCTGTTGGCCGACTGCCCCCGCGGTGTTTTCGGCGCGAGCCTGGCCGCCTTCTTGCTTAACGGGGTTCTGGTTCTGCTGGCCAGCGGCATTAGCCTGGCTTGCTTGTCCCTGGTTCTGGTTTCCCTGCTGTTGCTGTTGCTGTGCCTTCATCTTGGCCCTGTATTGGCGCTCGCGTGTAATGAACTTCTGTGACCATTCTGTCAACTTCTGGCGAGCATTGGTATTTTCCTGGCTCCCCTGCTGGTGCGTGTTGCAGATGTTCCAGAAATTCTGCATGATCAGGCGATACTTTTGCTTCTCGTCTTCAGGAAGACATTGCAGCTTGAGTATGTCGTCAGGGCGTAGCAGCTGTTGCTGCTGGCCGCTGTTGGGCTGCTGCTGCTGCTGCTGCTGGGGCTGGGGCTGCGATTCGCTCATCGTGAGGGCTGCGGACTCCCGAACCGCGCGATCAAGGCCGTCTGGGCAGTGTACGAGATTCGGTGGGGGATAGATATGACTGTTAGAATCGCGTATTTGTTGCGATTAGACGGGTGCGCGCGCGGAGAGATGGGTGTTTACGTCTGAATTATGGTGGCCGGAAGGATGAGGTTTGGAGTTGTGGTTGATCGAGGAGCCAAGCCAGCACCCAACCGTCGCGCGTTCCTTCAACAGCACGTGCACGCGTCATTCTCGACTATCGAAACAGAGACACAGCAGGACTGCGATGACGATAATAATATTAGATTACAATCCTATCTCAGATTATTATTGTTATTCCGACGCGTCTGACACCTGGCTATCCTCGGAGATGGTCTTCTTGGATCCTGCCTTCAACGCCCTTTCGCGGGCATTCCTAACCTCCCATTCAAACTCCTTGAGTGCCCTGAGCTCGCTACCAACAAACAACAGCCCCATCAATCCGTCAACGACGCCCACACTGAACCCTAGTGTGCTCAAAAGCATCAAAATAAAAGCAACATAGTTCTTTGGTGACCACCACACACCAATCAGGCACCCAATGGAGAAGGATAATTGGTAGAAAAAGTGCCCTATCCGCAGCTTGCGCTGCACTCGCTCTCTAGCCTCGTACTTCATGGTTGTAGCCAGGATCTCATCGTAAGTCTCGATGGGCAGGAACCGTTCGGGCAGGGCCGAAGGAGACAGCGGAGCAGCTGACAGAGCAGTCGGAGTCCTCGTCAGCGTCGCCTCCACAGAGAAATGGTCACTGAGAGAGCAGTGTAAGGTAGGATGGCGCATTGCCATGCCCACATTCGCTTCCTTCAGCTCCCACTCCGCTGTCTCTTCTTTTGTCTCTGGGTTCTGAAATCTTCCACTGCTGTAAAAGATATAATCTAGCCGCTTCGCATTGGGGTCTTCGACGGCAGGATCTATCTGCACGTTTTCGCCCTTAGCAAGACGTCTCTGTTGGCCCTTGTTCCACCTCCAGGAGTTGAATTCGCTGTCACATGTTGCGCCATTGATAGTCATATTGAACTCGGCAGATGGCATCGGTACGCATCGACGGCGTTCAACCTCGTCCCTTGCTGCGCCGATCGAAGAATCGGGATGGATTATACGCCATACATCGCGGACTGGCGAGTGCGTCTCGATTATACGGTGTGCGAGGGATAAAGGAATCATATTAAAGTCGCCCATGCCGATGACGAGGTGACCACGTTCGGCGGCTGCACGCATGAGCTTTGTGATCTCCCATGCTTGGGCTGTGCGGTGGCAGATGTAGGAGTCGTGGGGTTCGCTTTCGTAGGGGGCGTGGAGCTATTCATGTCAGCGTGTGCATTTCGAATACTCGTCAACAGTATTGAGAACATACATGTGTACAGAAGACTTCCGCGATATCTCCCCGGGAGGGTCCTATTTGTATCTTTGCACAAGCAACACCTTTACCAACGAACCAATCTCCACGGTAGAATGCAGCAGGCCGTCCATTGAGTGGATAGCGCACCATGTTGCTCTCGATGATGGGCCATCGAGACAAGATGACTAGCCCGCCACCAAAAATGCCACTGTGATAGAACTTGCCATATGGCAGTATGTGCTTTGTCTTGTCACGAATCGCACGGTAGTCTTCTTGAGTCCAACACTCTTGCAGGCCGACGATATCTGGCTGCGGACTTGCAGCGGCGATTTGAACACCGATTTCGGTAAGACGCTCATTGCGAAGTTTGGAGATGAACTTGAGGCCCCAGCAGTTGAGCGAGAGGATGCGCATATTTGTGGGTGATTGACCGGTCTCGGAAGCCATGGTGAATATGTATCACCTCGAGAATAGCGGAGTGTAAATGCAATGATGCAACTGGGGAAATAGTTCCTGAAATGCTGCAGGGGTGCTCCTCACCGCCCGCACGCTAACGCCCATATTGCCGATCCGTCGCGTTTTCCAGTCCGACACCAAACAACTGGCTCCTCTACATTCAGCAATGGACGGCACACCATCACCCTCACCCAAAAGACGACACCAGGATGAGGATGTCTATGACGATGAGCGACCGCGAAAACGCTCTCCCTCCCACACACCACACAATGCCTCACCAAGTTACAGGCTAGCAGAACGGCCTGCGCGCCGGTATAGCAGAGACAACAGCGATGATGAACAGCGGGAATACCGAGATAGAAGGCCTTCATACTCACGGTCAAGGTCACGCTCGCCACGCTCGAGCTCTTCGTCACCCAGTCGACGACGCACCTCTCCTGCACCACCACCAAAACCGACCTCCCTAAACTACTCTCCCACCCTGATTCTGCGCGGCCACAAGAAAGGCATCACCTGTGTCAAGTTTTCTCCAGACGGCCGCTGGCTGGCCTCTGCATCTGCAGATTGCACCATCAAGATCTGGGATGCCAAGACCGGCGCACTTGAACACACACTCGAAGGCCACCTCGCTGGTGTCAGCACAATATGCTGGTCACTGGATTCCAAGATCCTCGCAAGCGGCTCAGACGACAAGAGTATCCGGCTATGGGATACAGCAACCGGCTTAGCACACCCCATTCCGTTCATCGGTCACCACAACTATATATACAGTATAGCGTTCAGTCCAAAGGGCAACATGCTTGTCTCTGGTTCCTACGACGAAGCAGTATACCTTTGGGATGTGCGCGCCGCCCGAGTTATGCGCTCCCTTCCCGCACACAGCGACCCGGTCGGCGGTGTCGATTTCGTTCGCGACGGCACGCTCATCGTTTCGTGCTCACACGACGGCCTCATCCGTGTCTGGGATACGGCAACCGGTCAGTGTCTCCGCACCCTCGTCCATGAAGACAATGCACCTGTGTCGTCAGTCATATTTTCACCCAACGGAAAGTACATCCTAGCCTGGACACTGGATTCCTGTATCCGGCTTTGGAACTATATTGAAGGGAAAGGCAAGTGTGTAAAGACGTACCAAGGACACACAAACAAGAAGTACTCGCTTTTGGGGACTTTTGGCACATACGGCGATCGTGAAGCTGGCCAGGAATATGCTTTTATAGCATCTGGCAGTGAAGACAATAGTGTCGTCCTCTGGGACGTGAGTAGCAAAAACATACTTCAACGACTTGAAGGCCATTCCGACGCCGTATTGAGCGTTCACACGCATCCGACCGAAAAATTGATTGTTAGTGCGGGGCTAGATCGTACTGTGAGGTTATGGAGACCGAGAGAAGGGGGAGACGATAAAGAAGAAGGAAAGACGAATGGGCATGAGGAGACAATCGTCGAGAACGGGATCAAACAGGAGGAAAGTAACGGATACGGGCATGATCCTTTGCCTCCGAATCCTTTTGCTGAGACATGAGCGTTAGCTATTTTTCCCAAACATGAAGAACGAAAAGCAGAGAGAGAAAAGAATCAGAGATAATGAAGTAGATAGTTTTAGATACCCCATACTATTGCTCAAATTCCGAGTAGGTAAATTTGCCCATCCTTTTTCTCTACGTTATGTGAGGCAACGTATCGCCCCAAACTACACATCAACATCCAAATCGTGCCTTTTTCATCCGCATAAAAAAAAGAGCCTCCAGCCAGAACGCCATTGTGCTTGATGAAAGTATCCCAAAACGCCATGCAATGCCACGTCTTGCTTCTCTCATAAGTTCACACCCAGTCTTGCCTTTTTAGCTGAAATGTATACCCTCTTGATTAAACGCATACAGCAGCTTCAAGAAATCAGCCTCATCACACAACCGCGCTCGCTTATCAGCAAGCTGCGTTTCATCCTCAAGCACCTTCCTAACCTTCTCCCGCACAAGCTCTGCGAGCCTACCCTTGCGCTTACGATTCGCCCCGTTCTTGCTCTTCTTGCTTTCAGCCTGGAGTTGCTTGAAGAAATCAGGGAGCTCATCGTCTGGCTCGTCGGGATCGGAGAAACCCTTGAACTCGTCGTCGACATCCATGGTTTCGGCCTCTTCTGCTGCGGCGATTTCACTAGGATCGAGCGGGGTATCGTCGATGGGGATGTCGTTTTGTGCGCAGTAGAGACGATAATTACTAGCGAGGAGTTCGAGGACAGCTGCTGTGCCCATAAAACTAGCGCGCAAGGTCCTGTTCTTTCGGACGAAGCAGATTCGCAACAGACCGTCCCACTCCTCGTATGCAATTTGCGGGCGGGGGTTCTTGGGCTCGATGCGCACAACGTTGCTTTCGACTTGGGGAGGAGGATTGAAGTTGTTGCGTCCGACTTTCATGACATGAGAGACTCTAGACCACATTTGAACGTTGACGGAGAGGCGCGAGTAGAGTTTTTCGCCAGGTCGCGCGAATAGGCGCATGGCGAATTCGCGCTGGAACATAAGTACACAGCAACGTGGAGGGTGTTGCAGTGCGAGCAGTTTGAAGACCAGGGGAGAACTGATTTGGTACGGTGTGTTACTGATGCAGACGTCGAATCGTGGGAGTTCGGCCTTGATCACATCGCCCAGCCTTATTGTCAGTCTCTTTTCCTCTGGCGAGCCTTGTACTCGCTTTGTCAATTCTGCTGCCATTCGCGGATCCATTTCTACGGCTGTAACTTGCTTCACCGCCTTAAGTATCAGAACTGTCAGGTTACCGGTACCAGGTCCGACTTCCAGGACGTGATCGCTTTGTTTGAGGTGCGCTTTTTGGACAATAGCTGTTGCGACACCAGGGTTTTTGAGGATATGCTGGCCGAGGTCCTTGTCCATCTTGAAGATCGAATGCGCCGCTGCCGCCTTGGCTGATGTCGGTTTCGAGTAGGGCGAAGAATTGTTGTCAGCACCTTTGCTGCGCTTTTGCTTTGCTTTCGGCATCTTGAGTGGTTGTGGGTATGTTCTGGAGCGTCGTCGGCGGGGTTTATGTCGGTCGTAATGAGTCGAGTTCTATTGCAGAAATATACGCGAAACAATTTTTCTGGTCTACCAGGTGTCTCTAGTGGACGTGAGGATGTGACGCCGCTGGTGAGGAGTTGGTGTCGGCTGTCGGATGTGGGGATAATTTTTTGGGTGTTGCGGACTTAACGCGGGGTTAAGCAGCACATGTGAGCCCGCGTTCCTACTGAACGCGTGCCTTGTTAATGACGTCTGCTGCAGCTTTCCTTCTACAGTTGCATCAAATCTTCACGTCCTTCATTACTTCTATATGAGAGTAGACCGTTTGAAAATAAATATTCCTACTTCACACCCAGTCCACTGTCGCTCTTTTACAGTCATTGTACACGCTCGCTCTCTCCTACACCTCTCGTTGTTGAAGCCGCGCCCCTACTTAACTTTTCCGGACACAAACAGCAATTGCTCGCTCCAGATTCCGTTTATACACGAAAAACCACGTGTAGCTACTTTTGATAAGGCAAAGCCCGCTTCAAAACGCTCAGGCCGAACATCACCCAGAAATTGGTCCGCAAATGCTTTCAGGGGCCCGTTGAGCTGTTTACCTTATCGCCACCGCTTTCACTCATTACCATTCGTTCCTTTTACTCAAGTCGCCGGTCTTCCGCCTCATAGTCTTGTATATTCCCTGAGTCCTTTCTCTACTGTATCGACAGCCTTGGTTGGTTCACAAGCTCCCACTACAATTAGCAATAATCTTCAAACATCACACGCCATGGCTAAACCACTCGAAGGTACTACTTCCGGCTCCTCGCTCTCATTCATTTCTAACTAAGTGAACATAGTGACCGAATCTGTGACTGTCGTTCAGTCCACACAAAATGGCAGGAAGAGAAAGGCAGAGACAACTTCGCGTACAAAAAGGACCACAGCCCAATACACCGAAGTAGAGGAGGTTGCTGCAGTTGCCTCCAATTCACCTCGAACCAGCAAGCGTGCAACGAAGAAGGTGAAATATGAGCAGGAAACTGACAACGAGATGGTCGACCAACAAAGTGACAACGGCGAAGGCAGGCCCAAGCAAGCCTTGAAACGAACCAAGAAGGTGGCTGCTCAAGGGCCCGTTACAGATGCCAAGCTCAATGACGACAGGACCGTTAAAGACAACAAAATCAGCAAGAAGAACGTCAAATCTACGGAAAAGAAGGCTGAAGACGTCAATGAAGAGAAGCCTAAAAAGGTCACCAAATCCAAGGCCAAGCCAGCGAAGATTCTACCACCCATTGCAGAGCGTACCAAGGATATCAAGCTGCGAGTTGGCGCCCACGTGAGCATTGCTGGAGGTTAGTTGTGACCATTCCTTTAGCTTCAATTAGAATGCAGGCTGATATGGACCGAATTCACTTTTAGGCGTACACAACGCTATCATCAACGTCGTACACATTGGGTAAGCGATTTTTCTTTGGTACTTCAGACGTGATATCTTATGGAGGCCCTACGGTGTATGACTGGAACTAACCTTTCTAGTGGTAACGCCTTTGCTATGTTCATGAAGAATCAACGCAAGTGGGAAACGGTCGATATGGACCCAGAGCATGCACAATTCTTCGTCCAGTGGTGCAAGGACCATAGCATAGACGCCGCAGAGTGCTGCTTGCCTCATGGCTCATACCTGGTCAACCTCGCGCATCCGGATCCTGCACGCAAGAAACAGGCCTATGACTCTTTTCTCAATGACTTGACGCGTTGCCATAGGCTCGGCATTCGGTATTACAACTTTCATCCAGGCAATGCTAACGCGACCACCCACGAGGAAGGAATCCGGATCATTGCCGAGAATCTCAACAAGGCCCATGCAGACCCGAAGACTGGCAAAGTTGTTACTGTTCTTGAGACCATGGCAACCCTTGGCAATACCATTGGTGGCACCTTTTCTGACCTCGCAGCCATCATCAAGCTTGTCGAAGATAAAAGTCGTGTAGGTGTTTGCTTAGACACCTGCCACGTTTTCGCCGCCGGTTATGACCTCCGCACCCCCGAAGCATATGCTGAAACGATGAAGAAGTTTGACGAGGAGATCGGTTTGGAGTATCTCAAGGCCTTCCATATCAACGACAGTAAGGCTCCTTTGTCAAGCCACCGTGACCTTCATGCCCGCATCGGCACTGGCTATCTCGGGCTCGAATCTTTCCATAACCTCATGAACGATGAGCGCTTTCATGGTCTTCCCATGGTTCTCGAGACACCCATCGACGTGACTGACAAGAATGGAAAGAAGGTCGAGGACAAGGGTGTTTGGGCCCGGGAGATCAAGATGTTGGAAAGTCTTGTTGGCATGGATGTCGAATCTGAGGAATTCAAGACACTGAGTGCACGTCTTCAAGATGAAGGCGCGGGTGAACGTGAGCGTGTTGGTGACCAAGTGCAAAGAAAGACGATCAAAGATGCGAAACCTAAGAGCAAGAAGGCGGCTAAGAAGAAGGTTGAGAGCGAAGAGGAGGATGACATGGAAGAATAAGCACCAAAGCATCTGGGGGCTGCTTACCACCGCCACCGACGAGATGGATGACGCATGTGGGGGTATTTGGCCGCAGTGAAAGGCTCAGTTCGGGTATATGTTTCTTGCTAGTCTTTTGACTGAGGCTTGGACTAGCTAGTTTTGAAAGGGGCGTGTTCGGTGCATGGGTCTCATAGGGCGTGGACAATTTTATATTTGAAGATACCCTGGGTTGGCATGTTAGAAGCGTCGATTCAGTCATGGTATGCTTTGTCAGAATCTACGCAGCTTAATGAGCACAGAAAATACGCTAGGTAATACAGAGAGAAAGAGTGGGTATACTGCCATTAGGAAGAGGCCTGTGTGTGGATCATACAAGTCATGTTTGTAATATGCTCGACCCCCTGCCTTAAGTAAATTAAATCTGCAACTACTGGATGATAGTTATTGGTGGGCCATTTGCAGGAGGGTCAGCAAGCTTATCCCTTGGGCGCTAATGCTGCGGCGAGGCCCTGGGGGAGTAGAATCGGCAGTGACCAGAAGTGAGACGGCGATATTAGTTCCTAGCTGAAATGTGGTTGAAATGCAACCATTGCATACAATAGCGTCTGTCTGTCACAATCGGGCCTTTGAAGCGTATACCACTGATATGGCTGGGTGTTGAAGTGCATGCTACAGGAGTAGGGCTGTGTGCGCGCCGGGAATAAGGAGGTTTGTAACGGCGACCGCGAAGGCGACTAGACATTGCCACGATCCTCCCGCGGATAGTACGGTAGGCAGACTTTCCGGACCACGAGCGCGGTTAAAGCGTTGGAGTAGCGATACGCCGTACGTAAAAGCAAGTAACAACCGGGGTGTGTAGTATAAGGCGGTGGAGGAGGAGGAGGAGGTTAGTTAGATGTGCCTACCTATAGCTACTACGACTGTACTTCGCCTCAGTGCACACCGATGGTCGACGACTGCTGGCAGACAACGCATAGAAGGCTGGTACCTGCCACTCAGTTGCAGAATTAGGCTGCAGATATCTTATCAGCCCTACAAGCGGCAGGAGGTGCCCCTCTTACATCATTTTGGTTGCGTGTGTGGCGGCCGGAATGCCCGTCGGTAAAGTAGCAGACGTTGGAAACGGTGGTGGCTTTGAACATATATCTCCGCGCGAATGGCATATGAGGCTCCTTTTGCCATACTAGTTGCCCATGTCCGCCTTGGGCGCGGGGGAGCAGCGGCGATCTTGTACGGTGTGGGAGTCACACGATGATGGCTTGCGGTCCATGGACATGGTATAGTGTGGGCTCTAGCAGCGGGGAAAGGGGATGGTAAGCAGACGGGGCGCCAGCGGAGAAGCCGAGCGGTCGGGAGTGGGCGTGTATGTGTGTACCAGCACTATCAGGGCTTCATCACGAGTTTGGGGAATGGCATAGGGTGTGCTGCGGTTGGTGTCTGGGGCATTTGGGCTTGGCTGTGGCTGTCGCTGCCCTTGCAGTCGGGCCTTCCGTCGTTCGCCCACACTCTGCTACACTGAACACAGGCCATCTGACCGGCTCACGCACCGTCTTCGGCCGTCTTTCTAGCCTCGTCGCAGTCACGACACTACCCGAGACCACTCTCAGTCCCCCCAACGTCATATCCAGCCCGGCCAATCAATCGCGCCTCAGTCGTATACGCGTCAGGCCTAGCCCCCTTGGGCTTCATGCTGCGAACACGTGAGTCGGCAAGCTTCATCTTCCACCAAACGCCCACCGCCAGTCCGGGATGTGAAAACCCAGCCCTGTTGCACTAAGCCCTGCCCGCAGCCACAATGTGGAAGCTTGTCCAAGAAGCGTAGTGGATACGGACATCCCGCATACTTCATACACAGCATCGTCCAACCACCAAATGGCTATTCATGTGCGTCGACCGCGAATGCTTTGAATTCACCTTCTCATGTCTCTATTAATTCCACGGCTCCATCCCACCACCCATCGGATTACTGACCCGACGTGTTCCCAGTCCTCGACAGGTGCGCCAGCTGCAAAGTATGGTCGGCGTCCCCAAAAGCACGGGGTGCCTCATCTGCCGGAAAAGGAAAATTAGTAAGTCGCCGGATCTCTCCTCCGCGCGGGCTTCTTCTGACTATTGCTAGAGTGCGGTAAGGCTAGCTCCATGGCTTGGGCCCGACTCGAGCACCCTAGCTAATGATGAACAAGATGAGACCTGGCCAGCTTGCGTAAACTGCCAAAAGAACAGCAAGTCGTGCCCAGGTCCCCCATCTCGACACACCTTCAGAGACCTCGGTCCAAGGTTTAACGCAAACTCTACAAAGTTCGCTGGCGATGAACCCAGCGCACCGCCAGGTATGCTATACTAATCGAAACCAAAGCCACATATTCACAAAATCCCATAGATCAAGGGCACAACCGCTTGACGCAATTGAACGAAAAGTTCGCCGAAAATGGCTCAGTGACCCACAAGTTCAGGATTTCGCAAGGCGGTTCCACGCCTCGAAAAAGGTCCACGCGCTCAATCTCAGCGGGGTTCAGCCCGCCCAAGTCACCCTTCCCGAGACACCCATCGCCATCACAAGATCAGCAGCTCGCGCATGCCTTGATCGCAGCTACGAGAACCGGGAGTGCTGGACATCGAATGTCCGTCTTTGGATCCTTCATCCAAGAAGTCCCTGCTAGAATTGGACATAATCCTGCGCTTGACGCTGCTGTTACTGTACTCGTCAATGTCCACACATCGTTGGTCTACAAGAAGGCAGCGAATGAGATTGTTTCTCCTGAACTCTATATTCGGGCCATCAAGACGTTGCAAACATGCCTTGAGCATCCACAGCTCGGTTTGTCACCCGAGACACTCTGCGCATCAGTACTCTTGGGTTTGGTTGAGGTAAGATCTGCTTGGCCAGATTTTATCTTCGTAACCATACTTACACCACCAGGCGTTCGCAGGACCCAGGACGGGGAATCGATATTTGACTCATGTAGGCGGCGCTGGGCGATTGATGGAACTGCAAGGTCCCGGAAGATATCATGACAGGTTTACAAAGGAGATGCTACGCTTCAACCGAGGCGGAATTGTATGTCGACCTCCATAATCCACGGACAGAGCCACTTTATCCCATAGCTGCGACCGAGACACATACTGTTCTCAGCTGACATGTGGACAGATTATTACTTGCATGTACGAACGCAAACCGTGTTTTCTTGCCTCACCTGGCTGGCGAGAGATAGCTTTTGACAAGACGGGGCTTGGATTCGATGATTGCTTGAACACCGATTTGATGCAGTATATGGCAGAGTTGCCAGGTATCTTCAACGAGCTGAAAGAGCTAGGTGATCAGCGTGTCTTTCAACTTTCACGCACCTCGGGCCTCACTTTTGACTCGAGTGGTCAATCACAAAAGTCTTCGTCTGAGACTCCTCCGTCACTTGACTTTTCCTCAGGATCCTTTGATGACATGGAATTTCTGGACGAATTACAGCCCATCGATGCGTCCTATCCGGTCGATCCAAACTCGTATGCCTGTCCATACGATCCTGTACGTGCTGCCTTACTACAAAAGGTACGCAACCTTAAGGATGCCCTTCGTACTCTGGGCGAGCACATGGATGCGAAACTCAGAAACGGGACCGTTGCATCCGAGAAAGAACCCAGCGAAAGGGACAGCCCTGTGCGCAGAATATATCACTTCAACCATTGGCGGGACATGACTGCATACAACTGCTTCTGGTCCGTCGTTATCCTGACGAACAAGATTCTAATGCGACTCCTGTCCCCCTTCGATCGAAGCGTATACGAGATGCAATTTGAATGCCAGTACATTGCTCTCGAAATCTGCAGGACATGGGAAGATGCCTGGGCTAGTAGGCCAATAGGCGCGTTCCACACGGGCCTTAGTTTTGTTGTTGCATATGAGTTTTGTGCTCAGGATGTTAAAGAGTGGATAGTCAGAGGGTTGAACTCTCTCCTTGACTATCAGCAGGTCGATGCATTTCGTTGGTCAGACGAAGTCATTACTCATATGTCTTCTAAACTTTCTGGAGAAGGGCCAGGTCTTGCTTTCTCCAATTTTAGGACCTCAGGAGAAGCGACTTGAAGGGCATGGCCTTGAAACACAAATGAAAAAGAAGCGACCAACACGTTCCGATCCGTTCGGGTGGCAGTCTGACTATGGAGATTGATGCCGAGCCGCGGCCGGTCGGAATTTGGCCTAGTGGATGCATGACAAAAACTTGGTCTCACTCACAATCTTACATGCAGACCTACTGCATATGGGTTTATCAGCCCTATGCGCATTTGGGGGCGGAATATAAATCACGTGGCTTTTGTGTAAATGGTTCGAGTGCTGACGAATCTGCTCTGTACCTAGACCGTCTCGGCACAGATAAGCCACAGCGGGTACGGTGCCGGACGGGTCAATGCCTGATGGCTCAACCCCCGGCCCGTAGAAGGCGTGAGGAGCGAGACTGGACCTTTCCTTTGGCGATGTAGTGAGATTTTGAACATACAAGAGAAGGGCCGGCAGAGTAATTCTCAACGCACTCAGACAAGGACATGGTAACATTATCTTGATATTTTCCAACATCATTCCCCAGAGGTAGTTGTGTGCTTGTATTAAGATGGATGGCACAGACTCATGGGGTCAGTTTCGTCCTGTTTTTAGTAAACTCACTGTAGACTACTATGTAAGCCAATCTACCACAATACACTCTACACGGTACAACCTGATACCCCATAAATACCACTTTAACCACTCCGCACTTGTTACTCACTCTCAATTCCTACTAAAAGCCTCATCATCCTCCGTCTCTCCCAAGGCCATCACACTCCAAAACCCCAACTCTGCTCGACCTTCGCACACGCAAATACCATCATACAGTACTAGCACCAGCTTCACTTTTTACTGCCCAGCGGCTCGGAAATGCATCTTCTATCTACATAACCTAGGGAACGGGACCCGGCTAGCCCACCACCAGGCGATCTTGTATTAAGCGCAGAAGATCAGGTAGAGTGAAGGAGTCACTGATTATAGTGGAATACGAGAGAATGCTGAGGGTAGGAATGCCACGTGTGCTTGGATTGTGAATGAAGATTGAGAACAGAAACACGGAGAAAAAGTCGAAAACCCAGATTTGGAAAGTAGTATGAATCGGTTTTTCTTCATCACGATCGTTTCTTTTGTCATTGCAGGGCCATACTATGCTTCTTGCATCGAAACGCCACATAACCGTTTGAAGCGTCCGAAAAAAAAGAAGCACAGAGAAAAAAAGCCCGATCGCATTGACACGTTTTACTTTTTCCCCGGACCACAAAACAGCACAGAGCGGCATCGCATTGACATCTTATTTCTTTTTTCAAACGAAGAACAACAGCGGCTTTGTTTCCAGAACCTAAAAAGCAACGTCCCAAACGCCAAAGCTGACAACAACACAACATCCCTTACCCCTCCCCGTTTCCACCCCCAAACTTCCCCCCTTCCAGCATAGACATCTCTACCCCTTCTCATACTCAAGTCGAGATACCACACCGTTTCTTACAATCCGCACTCCCGATAATAGCGCCGGTACCCACGGCAGGAATATTCTTGCCTACATCCGCCGCGTTGAAAGCATCGTTGCCGAAGCCCGCGCCGATGATATCTTGGGGTACAGACCACAAGCTCGGCAGAATATTCAGAGTACCACTGTCATCGCTGTTAAGCGATGAGATGAGGAGGGAGGGCTCGCAACCTATATTCGGAGTATTAGTAAATCATTAATAAAACTAGTAATACCATGTCGTAGAATATGTAATGCCGTCTTTTTCCAAAACGGGAAGGGGGGGGGATGGATGAGTAAAATAACCCCCACAAGGCTTTTTACCCACAAAAGACTACTAACTGAGACTTTCCCGATTAGGAAGTACGTCGATGGTCTCTAGTACCAAATATAGCCAACATGACAGAAAATAGCCGGCCAGTCGATTGATAGGAAATGGGGGGAAAGAAGGGAAAATGAGAGAGAAAACAAAACAAAACATACCATTATTCTGCATCATATGCAAACTCGCCTGCGGAAACACCGTCACCATCATCGGCAGCAACTCCACCTTCCTCACCCCGACCCCATTCTCCCCAATCATCCACGTCGTCGTATTCCCAGTGATAGCAGTGACGATATTCGTAGCCCGCGGATGTAAATGTGGGGGCAGCATACCGCACGGCGCCAACCTGAGCAGTGCAACGCTCGATCCGAGACCGGTGACGGCAGGGAAAGTGGCGGCGTCGGCGTTGATGACGGCGCCGGTTGGGGAATCGTAGTTGGGGTGCTTTGTAAAGTCGTAGGTCCAGTCTGCGCTGTTGGGGAGCAGGGCGGCGCGGTCAAAGGATGTGGCTGCGGTGCGTAGGGCGGCGTTGAGTTCCGGGTGGAGAGTACGGGATTTGGGGGTTTGGGCGGTGGTGAGGGTTGTGAGGAGGGTGAGGGGGAGGAGAAGGAAGTTTGTGAGGAGAGTCATTGTGGAGATTTGAATAGAGGACTGGTCTTGGAGGGTTGGAGAGGTGAGAGGTGGGGGGAAGGGGTAGTGGTGCGTTGATGATGATGATGTGTTGGAATGGGTGGGAGACACGCTCTTGATATAGATTACCATCAGAGGTGAAATCTTGCGGCTGTCCTGCGCTCAGGAAGCCGTATGTGTGTGTGTGTGTGGTGGTAAAAAAAACGAGGCTGTAAACCGGCCTTGCTAACTAGATGTAGAGCGAGATAAGCTCTAGGTGTTGATGTGCAAGGGAAAATGAGACCGAGCCGTGCGGTGCTGACGGTTTCGAAGCTAGTATCAACGGACTTGCAAGGTTGGGAAATTTGGTAAGCAATGTAAGGCTTATTTTCTGGATACTAGATTTGGTGGCTCAGGCATACGATGGAACTTTATATACTCAAGTAGACTAAAACGATGCGTCAGCGATGCACGACGAGCCGTTAATAGTAAACGGAGACGACGAGAGACGAAATGTGTGTGCGAAGAAAACAATGGGCTGCTGACCGTTCAGTCTGCAACTCCTTGTCGTAGGCTTTCAAGCCACTGTTACTCCTGCTGGTGGCGTCCGTTAGAGACTATCTGGTGGAATGTTTCCAGATATGGCCGCTCTGTTCCGATTCGTATCGGTACTCATCCTATGGCATTCTCTTCTGGAAAGACAACCTGCTTACTATGTCACTGTTCCGTACGATTATTAAACTTTAAGCTTATTTTGATCATTCAATAAAAATGACTGATCGAGATCAGATTCCCGAATACTACAACCTTTGCGAGATCTATAGATACATGGGTACTTCTAATCTTGTCGCAAACCCGGCATGTGGATGCCTACTGACGATTGAGATTAGTTGCACCACGTCAATAGGCCGACAACCGGGTAGAGCAAGGTCTAGACAGAGGCAGCTGTAATAGGTGCTGTATTATGACCTGTCAACCCTCTTGGTTTGCTCGAGTCTTGTACAAAGGCGTCTGTAACGCTGTGCGGTTGTAAGTGCGTGATTGAGATACCTCTGCCACTTACATTCGTTGCTACGTGCATTACTTCGCAGTCAGTAGCGGCCTGGTGTGATTGAATGATGCTTTTGAGCGCTACTTACGATATGAGCCTGATGTTGAGGATGACCGGGCCAGTGTAGGCCAAAATCTGACCCATAACCGTGGTTGTTTTGCAGTCCATTATGTGTCAAGCCACCAACAAGCGGTCAAGAAAGTTTACCATTTGACAGACGCCTTACAACGGCGCCTATGGAACACAGACTGCCGAGGGACGCCACAGTCATACTCAACGAGACAAAGTCACGTTGTAGATCCTAATGAGCAACACCGTTGTCCTTCAGTGAAACGGTTGGCCTAAAAGATTGCGCAATGCGTTGTACAAGCATTGATACCAGTCAATTGCACGCAAATGAACGTGCAAAGAAATGCTTCACATGGGCCAGGCCAATCGTATCGTGGTCGTGCTTGCATTGTTGCACAATTTTTGTGATCTTGTTCTACCTCCTACCTGTGCTTTTGCCCAACGACTCTTACTCAAGAGAAATTCACCTTTTGTTTCAAGCCTGGATGGATTAGTACAATCTGTGAAGCATGCACACCGGCTAACACTATTGGAATGAATCGTGACACGGGAAACTGTTAGCCGTTAAACATCTAGATCGACGTCTCATATTGATAAACAGAGAGCGTTATAGACTAGATGAAGGTGTTAGATGCATATGGTGTGGCTTCCAAGTAGTCTGTGACATTCCAATCCGGTTTAGACACCCGGTGCCCCTCTCGAGCTTGATGACACCCCAACACGGTGTCTGCTATTCATTCCACTTGAATCTGTATCACGATCTCTTCGACAGTCTGAGCGATACATGTATGGCATACCAATGACGAATCTGCATCATTCACTCATACCAGCATTTTCATGGCCGGCGCTGTCTGTGCGCATGAGATAGGACATGATGCCCCAAACCCCTCTCATAGCTTCAGCGCGATCTTCAATGTTGAACAAGTCAAACCATCTTGTTCTCTGTAATTTTGGCGAGCACCAGTCAGATTCTGGTGGCGTCTCAACAGGGAGTCTGCCTTCAGTGATAAGCTCCAGATATGCAGGATGTATGCGAAGCCTTAACAAGCTAATGTGGTGGTTCAATGACGATACCATGAATACCTGGGGTGTCTGATTAGCAAATAGAGCCTTGTAAAGCTGTTGCACGAAACCCTACATCGTCCCACGCGATGCTCCTGTCTTTGCCAATCGCCTCGTATGTGACCTTTGGGTCCCAGAGCGGATTTCCGGGTCGCAGTGTCTTCCAGACTTCAGCTGGTGTTGGCCTCCGACGAGCTTTGGACCCGTCTCGATTTCTCTCAACAGGCTTTTCTTCTAGCTTGGAAATCGCCTCCTTTTCAAGGATCTCAGCAGCTCCAATAGCCTCACCAACTTCGCCCCCAGGGCCTCCGCCCCAGCGCTCTTTGGTCGTCCACCACTTGCCTTCACCCGCTCTTTGCTCACATTTGCCTTCTCTAGCTCTTTCCTGTGCAAGCAATAGCAGGCCCCCTAGCTCTCTTACAGCATCTAGAGTGGACTGGGCCTCTAGTCTTCCGGTTGCTCCAAAGTTGACATCAGCTCTGCACTGCATGCCTAGTACAGGACCTTCCAAGCAACCCTGTCTAGCCTTGACTCTGTCTTGAGGGCCACGCCAAGCTACAGAGCTCATACGGACCGGAAATCGAATGTGCTCGATTGTGAGCACAGGCGGACGCCGATGTGGAAAGAGTGTCACACCAAAAGCCCATGCAATAGGCTCTAGGAATGAGCGCACGCATTCAATCCGATACTGGTCAGGCATCCCAGCCCCATTGCCTATACGGTAGCCTTTATAGGTGCCTCGAGGAACATCGGCTGGCATACTCTCGGCCTTTTTGTTAGTGCCCCTTGGTGTTCCAAGCGGGTCAACGTTGTTTCGATGTATGCGTTCTGAATGTGCCGGTTCCTTCGATAGGTCTCTTCCAGAACCATTGTTACCTTGGACGTATATCGATTGCTTCTCACCTCTAGTGTCTCCTACCTTTGCCTTCTTTCGAGGCTCCTCTGTGCCAAGCGTGCAGGGCTCTGACTTGGGTGCAGATGCCTTCTCCGGGTTGGTTTCACCCGAGGCCTCTTGGGGATTGGTATCAGTGGACCCCGACAGGGGGTTGGGGGCTGTTCGTTCATCACTGTTTGCTCCTTGAGCTGGGGGCAAGTATTCGTCCAAAGATGTGTCCCAATAGTAGGCTAGGTTATCAAGTCCTTCCCAGAATTTCCGGAAATGAGCCAGTCGAAGTGGTGGTTGAGTTCCACACCCTTTGCGTGTAAGGGTAGAGAAGGCATCGGCGTTATTGAAGAACAATTCTCTTGAGCGGACAAAGAAGTCACGCTGCTCTGGTGGTTTTCTACCATTGCTCAGAAGTTTGGGAGGAGTGCCAGTATTTGAGGACGACTGCTGTTCTCCGGGGCTGTCAAACCAGGATCTGGGAGGCAAGAACGACTCTGCGTTGTTTGACAGGGACGAAAGGAATGTTTCCAGGTCACTTTCTGGCTGAAACGTGACATTTAGCAAGGCCAAGGTCTCCTCAGTGACATCGGAGGGCTTCTTCAGTCGCAGAAAATGGTCCGTTATCCTGGCACCTGGCTGGGACCACGAAGCTGGTGGTGCTTGTGTTGACGGCTCGGGCGGGTGGAGAGCAGGAAACGTGACGGGTGTCGGTTTCGGTGGAGGGGACCTCTGTTTCTGCGTGTCATATTGCCCCGCCAGTAGGTTTCCTATGGAAGAAAGCCCTGTATCAGCGACTATACTGCACGTGCACTACATGTCTCAGACGAAACATGTGTGAAATGTCCAACAAACAGACGAGCGCGCGCAGCACAACTTGCAGCCCGGCATCCGAAGAGGTTCAGAGCGAGTGGGAAACAAATTGGCGTATACACTGGGCTTCACAAAGTGCTTGGTGTTGTGTCGAGACGACGGGCAATGCTGTTGGGTGAGGGACGTGTGTTTAGGACATCATGCAAACGGGGCCTCGTCATGCGCCCACATGAAGGCCCCCCAACGAAACGGCAGGGAGGGAGAGGAACACAAATAGACGATACTTACCGCTGAAGGTGAACATGGTGGTGTGCTGGTGCAATTGGGCCTCGGCCGACCCTCGACTCAGGGAGGAGAAGGGCAAGGAGTTGGCAACGTCGAGCTGGAGTAGTGGCCGCGGATCCCTAAACCGGACGTGCGCATCCAGGGTACCAGCGTCTCCACATGTGCATGCCACAGACAATGGATGTTGACGAGCATGCAATGGTGATGCATACCAAGCCACCTCGAGGAGCAAAGGACCCCGGATCACGGCTTCTGACAGCTGCTATGCTTGTCGTGTCGTTGGCTTGGCTACCAGGTACCAGCAACACTCTGGTGGGCGCTACCTGGCCCCAAGACCGTTGATATGTGAAGGTCGTCCGATGCGCCTGACTCGGTTGGGCAGGTGCTGGCAGAGATGCTTGCAACCAGAACGGCGACTTGTCTGGAGTAGGTGTGCTATGCCATGGCCGATTGGGTTGAGCGTGCTGCCATGGTGGAGGAAGGGGGCAGAGAGGGAGTCACGTGCTAGCAGTAGCGGAAGCACGGCTAGTCGACCCTCGACGACGCAGCGAGAGAGGGGCAAAGGCGCCTCTTTCTCTCTCTGCCCCTCTGCCTCTGCCTCTGCCCCTCAACCACAATTCTCATCGCCAGCTAACATGGCCATGGCCATTGCCATGGCCGCTATGACGGCTGCCAGCATCTCTCGTCAAGTGGCTAGTCTGTGTGCTGAGACGGCGAGGCTACCGCTGTTCAGGAACTGCGAGGCCTACGGCGCTTCAAGTCCTGTTCGAGGCGCGACATGAAGCCGCCCGCGTTTCAGACGGCTACAAGCGCACCATGGTATACCAACGGTTGACGAGTACCCAGCTGCTTTTCTAATTACTACACCGTTTTCTCTTTGTTCATTATTCGTCCACTACCACATACAGTGACATTCCCCATTTCCCGGGTTAACATGCGCAGAGCGTCCGCGGCGCCTAGTGTTTTTTTCTCTTAATCTCTTTCTTTGCGTCCTTTCCTGCGTGTCTTTCTATGACTTAACGCTCGAATGGCATCCCCACCAGAGTCGATTACGACCGTCAATGGAAGACGATGTACGCGTTCTCGCGCCCGGGTCGCAGTCACAACTCCAACAACTCCAGCCACCGTTGTGACCTCTTCCCAAGTCATAGCCTCCACTTCTACAACCCCTCAACCAGCGCCGCAGATACAGACGACGACTCCTCAGGCTCCTTCTCTCCCTCCATCTCCCCCTCCTCCACCACCACCGCCACCATCATCATTATCACCATCATCGCAGCCGCCCCCACCTCCGGAACAGGCACCACAGCAACCACCTACTAGTACCACCTCACCCACAGTGGATGCAGTAGCAGGAACATCGTCGACAGGTACGCTAAGTACAGTCCTTACATCATCCTCTGCGCGCGTAGTCCCGCTTGCTCTTCCGCCTCCAAACCCAGCTTCGGCTGCTCAGGAGCAACCGATAGAAGCCCTAGCTACGGTTGAAGTGCCCTTGCAAGCTCCTGTAGTAGCACCAGCTCCTACACAGGATTCACAAAAAAATCGTGATCCACCATCTGTCACTCCTGACTCCGTACCAACAAACTCTAACCCAACATCAGGAGTTGCTCCTCCATCACCCGTTGAAGTTTCGAGCGCACCGGCCAGTCCCACTGCGCTGCTTGCATCTGGCACTTCAATTTCTGTGAACACAAATCCAGCAGTTCCTGTCGAGTCTGACACAAGTCCACCGTCATCCATCACTGCAACAACCGTAGGCCAACCACGGGTGACAGGCTCCCCACTTGCAGGGTCTGCGGGCGAGTCTAATGAGGGGTCTGCTGGAATCATTGCACCAGGTCAGGGGTCCTCCAACAACGATGATAGTCCCTTGACTCTGGGTCCCAATGCGAACCTGGCTGGCATTTTGGGCGGTGTTTTTGGAGGTATTGCGGCGCTGGCTTTGATTATTGGGCTGCTCTTTCTCGTCCTGCGTAAGCGAAAGTCAAAGCCAAGGAGGTGGAATGAGAAGAGGCAAAGTAACTCAAGTTTGCTATCGAGGATCAGGACAATACCGACTGGACTAGGCGCATTCGTTGCAAGGCTGAAAGGAAGCCAAACTGGATCCACCCAAAACCCTTATCAACGACATGTTCCAAAGGCCAGCACGGACTCGATATACTTAAGAGACTCTAACGGACGGATTCGATCAAACAGTGAGCCACAAGGTGCATACCCACACAGACGCGCAGGTTCCAGCGGCAGCATATCAAGCAAGAAGAGCGACAGGAACCTACTTCGCAAAAAGCCCAGCAGTATATCTGCCTATCGATTTCCTGATATCGCAGAGGATACAGGCACACCGAACCCATTCGCAGACCCACAGCAGATGCGTCCGCTTTTGATACTCAACCCCGATCCCAAGAGCACGCCCGCTACACCCCAAGTCCCCGCAGCTACTGCGGATCCTGAACCAAGAGATCCATTCACGTCCGTTTATGATCCACCACCAGTCGCGCCAACGCGGGAGAGAGGACCAGCTCAAACTCATCAACGCGCAATGAGCTCGATTTCGGGACAGAGCTCGCATACTACATGGTCTCTTTACCCCACAGCGAATCCGTTCAACGACCCACCTAATGTACCGCCGCTACCAAACCAGGCCGTATTGCCACAACACCACCGTCAACGGTCTTCCATGGCGTTGCCAAACTTCAATCCGACTGCGACTTTCGATGCGAACTCGACTTTCGCCACCCGTGATTCCGGCATGTTTTTCGGAGAGCCAGGACCGAGTAGACCTACAACCAACATGTTCACACCGGTTACGCCTGCTCGTCGAACGATTCGACAATCTGATCCATTCGATCTTGACCGACCTGAAGTCCTCGGGTTCGGCGGCCTCAGCAGGCAACCTACGCGAACCAAACGAAGGAGCAGCGTGAATAATTGGTACAGCACTGCTGGAAACGGTGCTTCCAATGCTCCGCCGTTGCCGACAGACAGCGCAAGACCCTCGTGGGGTCCGAATTCAGGGAGATGACGACACATATTAAGATTTCCAGTACAAAAAGATGACTTGTCACACTGCTGTTAAGATACACGCCAGACGTAATACCTTATTAGCAGATACGCGCTCGATGATCACTTTCTTTTCAACCGATGGCAGGAAGTATTCCGCGGGTTCCATCACAACCTTCATTTCTGATTTGTTCATGTTTCCACCCACGATCATTGTCATCATGACGACCTGCATAGCGAGCATTTACCTGTAACATATACTGTCCTGATATCCTATATTTTTTGTAGCGCAAGAATACCCCCTATTACCCCCAGAATTGCAATTAAATATATCAATGTACGATACATGCAAGAACATACAAGCAAAAAGCCTGTTCCCTTTTCCCCTGCTTATCCCCCTTCTTACCGCGTATAATCATACGATGTTAGCGACAACTTGGCGAAAGCCGCCAAGGCATGGCCTCAATCTGAGGCAATGTGGTGAAACGCTAGACACGAGTTTTTGCGGCGCGGATTTGTCAGGCTGGATGCGGTTGATCTGCGCCCGTAGGGCTAGCGCTGCTTCATGTAGTAGGTGCTTGCATAGCATCGCTTTATGCCACACGAACAAGGCAGGTATGTCGTTAATGGGAAGATGTTTTGTGCAAAGTCTTGTTATCCTTGTGTGGCACACGTTGCACACACATACACACACGACCCAAGAGCCAAGATCCAAGGACCCCTTATGAGGTGTCACGACACGAGGCATCAAAGTTTATGCCTCAGACAATAGACCTTTTGGTGCTCAGGTACACACGAAAGAAGTTTTGAATAGCGATAAAAAAATGGGGGTATTGGGGTATTGAGGTATTGGGTATTTGCCTTAACTCTGCGCTGTGTGTGCTATGGAAGAGGGGGGTGGGTATCCTTATTGCATTACGCAATGCAACATTATATACAACCTAACTATTAATTTAAAGAGATAGAACAAAAGAAAAGGATAAAAGAAGGTTAGGTATCGTGATAAAATGAAACAAAGAAAAGAGATTAAAGCAAACAAATGAGATATGAGAAAGAGAAGAAAGAAAAGTTGTCGTAATTTCGTCGGCGGGTGTTTGGTATGATCGTCTCGCTCCCCTCTTTCCCCCTCCCGCACCCGCGCCCGCGCCCGCGCATCAAACCCCCCCAGAAACCCTAACCTTTACCAGCTTAAACCTAGTAAAAAAATTTGAGTCCCCTAAAGCATGAACTTTGCGCCCGTCTTTCAATGTGGCATTTCCCTTGATCTCCCTTTTTGAACGCCCAAAAGTCCCTCTCTCACATCCACTTCTCCGCATCCCCAAACGGCGGATACACGAGTCCCGCTCCCCCACTCTTCCGCCTTACCCACTTGCCTCTGGTCCCAGCGCCGACTCCCGCATTGCTATTGCTGCTACCGACGGTGCTACTGATGCAATCCCAGTCCCAAGGGACCTGGCGGCCAAGCACCTGGTAGCCTGCTACTCTGCGGAGATTATTTCGGGGGCGCTGCCGCTGCGGCGCGTTGCTGGTGGCGGTGCTGGTGCGTAGGGCTATGCGGGTTGTTTCGCGGACGGTGCTGGGGCCGGGGTTGCGGGTGCGGGGGGAGGTGGGTTGTATGATTTGTGTGTGGTAGGTTGGGTCGCGGGAGATGCTAGGGGGGATGAGGGGGGAGGTGTCTGCTGGGGTTGTTGAAGGGGGTGGTGAGGAAGAAGGGGAGCAAGAGGGTGGTGGAGGGTGTGTTGGTGCTGGTTCTGGTTCTGGAGGACATGCTGAAGGTGGTGGAGGGGGACATGGCGATGGAATTGATCGTTTTCGTCCTTGACCTCGTAGCTTGGGGTCCCAGGTCTCAGACATGTCGAGGCTGCCACGGTAGTGTTGGTGGCCTAGACCTAGGCTAACGCCGAGATGGTGCTCGCCGTGTATAGGGTGCATGTGTAGTGGATGGAGATGCGGGTGTCGGTGGTGATGCTGCAAGTGAGGATAGACATGTGCGTGAGTGAGTTTCTCGTCTACCTCGACGTCCACACTGGGTGCCTTGATACGCACGTTGGTCAAGCGTGGAGACGCCGGGTTACGATGTACGCGAACGATGTCCTCCACACATGAAGAATCCGAGGTAGGCTGGTAGCCTTTCTTTTTGCCTCTGGACGGGGTGAGGGTGACCCAACACATTGTTGCTGTAGTGACGGGGTGCAGTGATATCGACCCCGGAGTCGATCCGTGGGAGGGGGTGTAGACGTGCGGGTGATGCGAGGCGGTGATATGCAGATTGTGAAAAAGCTGGAATATGTGATGACGGGGGACGAGAAGGGTGATGATATGGATAAGGCGTTGGATGGTGAGGACGGTGCATTCAGAAGACTTGGAAGAAGAATTGTCAACAATGAGGGAAGTACCTGGTTTACTTATTCTAAGACTGGCACACGACCCTTTCTGTACATATGATCATATCCACCTTCTCTCATCAACTCCTCTCTCTTGATTTGACGTCCCTCTTTCTGTGTGTATATACCTACTACCATGACTGTTGTGCCTTAAACAGTCACCCGCTAGTCCCACGGCGCATGCGCGAGACGGTGCTACCACGCGCCTGGCTCGTCTGAAAGCAAGGCAGGGTTCGAATAAGACATATGTGGGCAAAAGCAGTGCCTGCATGATTAGTGACGGTGCCTGCATACGGGTAGATGCAAACATGTGTTCTAGTGTGGTGGGCGAGTGACAGAAGAGGTGAGGTCGGAAAATGCGCGCGTGGGTTGCCGCCATTGTCTTGGATGACCTCGAGTTTCAATCGGAAGGGCATGTGACGGTTCAGCCACAGCATTTGTTTGTTGCGCCTTGCGGCGGAGGACTCTGTGGATCCTGGTGACGTATATAGTAGGACTTGACTTAGTAAATAGGTCGTTGGCTATGTCCTTCTTTGCAGTTGAGCCCACACTGCGGTAGTACATCGGCGTGTAGTGCAGTACGCGTGCCTTTGATGCGATGAGTGTCGTCATAGCAACTACGTCCTTTTTCCTTCTCTTTAGTTTTGCAAGACACAGTATTGTTCATGTGAGCTGTATGCTATCGTAAAAAACAAGTCCTCTGCGTCATGGGTGCCTACACAGGCAGAGACGGGCGTAACCATGTGAATGACATCGGACCGGCTTAAAAGACAAGCTGAAGATACGTGAGTGATGGCTATGAACGGATATATCCAGTAGCACAGGCGATGCGAAAGCGATACCGAAACTGTACAGTCCACGATGCTTCTGGTGTTAAAGCGGTGCGACGAGGTGGGTGGTGAAGGCAACAGCTGGGACGCGGCTGGCCTTGGCATTCCCGACAACGCCGGAGCTTGGAGCTCACATCACCACTCCAAACAGCCAAACACCACCCCACTGCGACTTCTCAATCACGTTTTCGATACCCTTTGATAGTCGCCAGTCCATACAATCGTCACAGTCATGGACTCATTAGTGTCGCAGTACAGCCGACCGGCTTACACGGAGGAGGGTCCCTCCGAAGAGGAGCAGCTGCAGCTCTACAGCGGCGCCCCAGAGCTGTCTCTCAAGTTTGCCCTTCCACCCGTCGCTCAGGTGCGTTCTACATTCCTGGATCAATTCCAGAAAGTGCACATTTACTGACAGTGGTACAGTCAGCATCATGGCTCCGCGCAATGACGGACGACTACTCCAACCCCAACTGCCCCATCAAGATCGCCCACGGTACTACAACCCTTGCTTTCCGCTTCAAGGGCGGCATCATTGTAGCCACCGACTCGCGTGCCACGGCTGGAAACTGGATAGCAAGTCAAACGGTCAAGAAGGTCATTGAGATCAACAGCTGCTTGTTGGGAACCATGGCTGGTGGCGCTGCTGTATGTACTTGGCGATATCAAGGCGATGGTGCGGGACAGACTGTATTCTGACGTGTTGTAGGACTGCCAATACTGGCTCGCATATCTTGGAATGCAATGCCGTCTCCATGAACTGCGACACAAGCGCCGCATCTCTGTCGCTGCGGCGTCTAAGATCCTGGCTAACTTGGTCTACTCATACAAGGGCATGGGTCTGAGTATGGTGAGTTACTCTATATTCCTATGTTAGCCAATCCGCCTAACGATAGTTCACAGGGAACCATGTGCGCTGGTGTGACCCCACAGGAAGGCCCCGCCCTCTACTACATCGACAGTGACGGCACACGTCTAGCCGGCAACCTCTTCTGTGTCGGTTCCGGTCAGACATTCGCATACGGTGTGCTCGACGCACAATACAAGTACGATCTTGAGGATGATGAGGCGCTTGAGCTGGGCCGAAGGAGTATTCTGGCTGCTACCCACCGAGACGCATACTCTGGAGGTTTCATCAACTTGTACCACGTCAAGGAAGACGGATGGGTCAAGCATGGGTTCAATGACACGAACCCTATCTTCTGGGAGACCAAGCTCAAGAAGGGCGAGTTCTCCAACGTTACGAGTGCGTTGGACTAGGAGCATCTTGGCCGCAGTAGCTATCATGTCCCTAGGTCATGGCAGTGACGGCAGAAATCCAAATTCCGCCATCGACCAGCTGCCACGTATCCGCTATACCAGTCACGAAATAGACACGTCCAATGAAATGAACAACTTGAACATGTACACAAGCAAGTCACCTGATCAAGGCACAGCATATCTTCCGTTCTGAATCGTTTGTTTTTTTACTGGGCATCTTCATTACTAATCTGGCAGTGGCAAAGAAGCATTTCTATACCTGCGACTTAACACATATAAACTAAAGAAACAAAGCGCAGTTCCTATATGCTGGCTTCAAGAAACCCATCGAAAACGATGTGTGAAAAACGCCTGCCCCCCACGCACATGCCCATACAATGAAAAAGAAAAGGAAGAAGAAAAGCCAAGGTGTGCAATGTACACTCTCCCAGTGCCAATTGGGTATAAGCAAAAGAAAAAGGAAAAACGGAAAACAAATCCTTCAAGACTTTAACACAAAGAAGAAAAAAATCCATAATAAGTAAGAATCCAGATGCTACCCAAGATAAATGAATGAAGGAAAGTACGCCAGGTGAAGCCGACCAGCTTTTGATTCTTTCTTGCTCTCTCTCCTTTTGTTTCTCGTCGTCTTGCCTAGCCATGAATATGTGTAGTAGAAGAGAGAGAGGCAGAGAGGCAGAGGTAAGGTTCCCAACCAAATATGTGGGGTTTTGTGCTTTGCTTTACACAAAGATGCAGTATAATATGGAAAAAGACGAAAAGAAAAAAAACCAGAAGCCGTCAGAATGTATGACCAAACTCCACACAGTTAACATCACCGACTTCGCCTTCTCAAGCCCAGATCTTCTTGCTGGAGCTGCTTGATGAGATCGAAACTCGCTTGGTCTAGATTGGGATCAATCATATTCAGCATACCCATGTTCATGCCCATGCCTGTGCCCATAGTCATGCCGTTTTCGAGCTTGATGCCATTGCTACTATTGTCATGTTTCTTGCTGCCTGGCGTGGACTTTGGTGTCTTGCTGTTTCGACCACCCCGTGAGGGCGTGTGGCTTGATTTGCGGGCTGAAGGCTGCTGAGAACGGGCAGCCTTGTATGCGTTGACGGTGGGTGTGACAGGTGGAGGAGGGAAGTCAGAGTTCGTGGTGAAGTTGTTGTAATTGTTTGTGGCTGGCGAGGTTATGTACGGATTGTAGCCATTGGCTGTCGGTGAGGCGGCTGAGACCGGTGACGAGAGATGGCGAACTGCGTGAGGCTCGGCTGCAGATTTTGATGTGAAACCATTTGTCTGTGTGTGCATAGTTTCGTTATGAGGTACTGGGCCAGGCGTGAGTGGTTCGACACTGGGTCCATGGGGCTCGCCGCTGTGCTGTATAAACTCGACACCGTTCATGGGCATGGATTCAGCAGGTTGATACTCGACAGACGACATGACAGTATCTTCATTGCCGTGGTACGAGGCCGCTGCGTTAATATTGCTGTAGTCGCCATTCGTGTATGCTTGTAAAGCAGGATCAACAGGTACGAGTTCATCGTTTTCGGGCGTCTGATCTAGCGCTTGTTGAGCCGAGTAGGCAATGTCCTGGAGGAAAGATGAGCCACCGTTGAATTGGCTGGGCATAGAGTGCCGTGCATGCATGTCTCCGTTCATGTATTCTTCGTCGTATGATGATGCGTGTCTCATTCGCTTCGCCGTTGATGTTGAGCCTTCGTCACTAACCCGTCGTTTCTTGGATGCGGAGCCCCTTGGGATTGGAATTTCATTGGCTTTAATCGGGTCAACGTTGCCGTACTCATCATGTATGCAACGGCGCTATATTCATCAGTTGTGCGTAGTGGATTGGTTGGACGAGCCTTACCTTGCTCTTCCGACAGTCAGCACAAGCCTTCACTCTGCCGGACTTGAGTGCATATGGATCTCCATTTACGTCTGCCATAATAGGGCCACCATTCACAGGACCATTGGGAGCGTTGGAAAGACTATCCGCGATGGAGTGATCGCTCAGTCGACGTTTGACTGAGATGCCATAAGATCCCGAAAGATCGATGGTGTGCATTCCGGGCTTCGACGTATCAATAAGCTCATCTTTGTGCTTGCATCGTATCCGTCGCTTCCTGCAAGCATCACATGCAACACGCTTGGGTCCAAGCTGAGAAGTTTTCGGTGTTGTAATATGCGGATTGTTTGCCGATGGACGGAGGAAGCCTGTTAATGGGCCAGAAGTGACGGGTACCATATCAAAATTGTTGAAGTTCTCCATCTCGACAGGAGGAGAAGGCTCCGGAATCACGTCAGAGGCTTTGATCCGAGCTGAAGACCTTTCTGCTGTTGCTCGTAGGGCTTCATGAAGCGTCTCCCGCTCCAGTCTCTTGACTTGAGCAGCGCTAAGCTTCTTCTCTGTAGTCTCACTCACCTCAGGAAGTATAGCATCGGAGAAAGCCCATGGCGGTATTGTCTCGTTTCCACGTTTCCAGGCAATCCACATGGCAAATCGCCGTGCTAGCGCAAGTGGTTCGCCATGACCTTTGGGTATCGATTTGTTGACTGCACTTCGAGTCTTTTGTGGTACTTCGATCTTTCCCTCTGTAATGAGAACGGTCCTCCAGATGTAGTTGAGAAGATCAGTAAGGCCTTCCAGCTCATGCTTAGGGTAGTATCGTCGGTTGTAGTTTTGTGCGCCGAGATGTGAGTTGTGTCCGAACCTGTCAGGCTCGCAGTAGATGGGTGTGGATCGTTTGAACTGCTCGCCGCTTTGTAGGAGTTCTTGAACAGGACCAGGAACGGGGTCCTCTTCTAGGTATTTGATGACGGTCAACCACATGATCTTTTGGAAGAAAGGGTAACGAAATTGCAAAGCAACCTTGGTGTTCTTCTCAATTTCCAGAATCTTGATCTGCATGCCGTAATGTATGCGAGTGAGGAAATTGCCTCCGATAACAAGACTGTCTTCAGGTGTCCAGACCGCATGAATCCAGCCCGAGGGGATCAGCATTGTGTCTCCTGGGTACAAGTCGACACGGTAACACTCTTTGACCTGCTTGCCGAGCCAGTCGTGGCCTTGATTGGGCGAGAGACACCAATCTTCGTACTTTTTGAGATTTTGCTTGGTTGGTGGGATGAAGAAGAAGACCTTTTTTCCCTTGACGATGTGGTAGTATACTGAAGAACCGCCAAAGTCGATATGAAAGTCGGTGAAGCAGTCTGCGACAGACATCAGGCAGTAAAACTGCACCGGTGGTGGGGCGGCCTTGTCGTCTTCCCGCCACACGGAGTCTTGCAAATCCATATCCCGGACGGCTTTGGGTCGTCGAATTAGTTTTCCAAGTCGACTTCGAGAAACCTCGAGGCTTATAACGTTCCGCACAGGCTTCTCTCCTTGCTGCTCGTAGTAGTCTGCCCATTTTCCCATAGTCCACTTCTTGCCCTCGCCCTCTTGAGCCTTGACATCAATCACCGGCACAGGTTCGTTCGGACCGTAGAGTTCTGCCACGCGGCGGACAGTCAATCCCTTGGGGATAACCATGTCAAGACTGTCCTGACCGTCATCCGCAACTATTTCATATTCAAAGTATGATGCGAGCTCTTCCTTTTGTTCATCGGTATCTTCGGTTCGTAGTCCTCGTGGGGGGTTCATATCGCCAGGAATCACAATTGGTTCTTTGAATCCATTCATCTTTTCAAGAAAGTCACCGGTAATGAGTTGTGCCGGCACGCGCGCAAATGTCTCGGGCGTGAACTCAATATCACCGTTCTTGAATGCTGCAATATAGTGGTGTTCTGGGTTATCGTCTGACGTCTTGAGCACGCCTTCGTTTAGACCAGCGTAGTCAACAGTGGTGTGGGCTCTGACGGATTTACGAACCTCTGGACCATGTTAGAACTATAAGCCCAATGTGCGTCGGTAGACCTACTCGTTGTTTCACCAAACTTGGGTCTACACGGCTCGCAGTAGAATTTGTTTACCTCCCGGACCTCCCGTTCGCTGTTGAACCCCGCGCAGGGGTAGTGGTACCACTCTTTGCAGCCGTCGCACCCTATCCATTGTTCGCCGTCGCCAACTTTGATCGCCGACTCGGAAGACTTGCACGAAGCACAGATGAGTTCAGGTTCGATTGGCGCATTTGCAGGCTCAGCAGGTGCATCGACAGGAGCAGACGCAACCGGTTGTGAACCAAGAGGAAGTGACTTGGCGCGTGAAGAGGCTGAGAGCGGTGGTCCGATCGAGTTCGGTAAAGTCGATGTGGAGAAGGAATGACGGCGGGCTTGTGTGGGGGAGGGATGCGCGGGTTCGGCAAGCTCTGCTGGAGGTGCAGAGTTCTCAACTGCGACTGCGGCTGGCTGCTCAGCATTCAGGCTTGGAGGCGATTGAGTCTGTTCTGCAGGTGCTACCGGCCCTGCAGAAGATGCACCCTTTGGCTTGGGCGTCCTCTTTCGTTTGCTACTTGTCGCGCTAGCGCTACTGCGACCGCCTCGTGCCTTCCCTTTCGGCCAACCCTGTTGTTTCTTGGTCTTGGGCTCTTCTGTAGGAACAGGGCCTTGCATTGCAGGCTGTGCGACTGAATTTGATGCTTCGTCGGTCGGTCGGTGGATCTGCGTAGATGGAGCCGTCGGTGCTGTGTGTGCTGGCTGCCCTAAAGGGTGTTTCGTATCTATGACGGGCTGCGTGTGCTGATGGTAATGATCAATAGACGGCGGCTGTGGCGCTGTGAATGGACTTGGAGGCTCGCCTATTTGCTGGATTTGTCCCGAGTGCTCCATCGGCGCTGTATGTGAGATGCTCCACCGCTTTGCTGTCGAAGGTGGTGAATGTGCAGTCTGCGTAGAGACATTGAAAAAATCCAGCAAAAGCTGTGCATCTGAAAGCCGGTCGTTAGGTTCGCCGGGGGGTTGGTACATGCGGCTGCCATTGTCCACCATGTGCTCGACGTTGTAGGACCAGCCCGGGATGTGGCTCGTGGCCGGTCTTGACTGCGACTGGTCATACTGCGGAGAGCCGTATACTTCAGAGCGCGCTCTCTTTGCGGGCCGCTCGTTGAAGGGATATGCATGGTCTCTGGGGAAGGCGTGTGCTGGGGCGCGTTCGGCGATCGGATAAGGGAGGGTCGTGGGCGATGCCGCTGGGTATGCAGGATGGCGCGACAGCTCAACAAATGGCCGACTGGTATGCTGCGACGTCACAGCGACATCTGCGAGGGCCTCAATGGGCGATGCCTGCGCCAGAGAATATGGCGTCGCTGGCTGCGGAGCAGCAGGAGGCACGGATCGCGAGGATGGGTCATACGTCACCGCGGGCGACGCCAGCTTCCCTGACGCGCGCGTACTCTGCCCGAGAGTAGGCGTTTGTATGTGAGCAGTATGAGTGTGTGCGCCCGGTGGCAGCGACGCTGTTGGGATATTCGCTTTGCCGGCGGGGTGCGCTGATGAGAGCTCGGTCGGTGGCAGCGTGGGTGACAGCGGCTCGTAGACGGGCGGTGGAGGGGTAGCAGCACGCGCCGAAGCTCGCCTGTACTGCTCCTTGAAGGACGAGATTCGTCTCATGGCCGCGGTGGTTGCGGATGTGGGTCGATGGGGGCTTCGGGGGTGCGAGGGACTCGGTCTGGCGTCTCAAGATGCGCGGCTATGGAGCAGCGGCAGGGCAGGCTGAGAGGCAGGCAGAGAAGTAGACGGGCGCGAGCATATCCTGAATTGAAGCGACAGCGGCGCGGCGCAGGTTGAGCGAGCGTCGAGGTTGGGGTGGTGGAGGGTGGTAGTGGTGGAGATGTCGCGGGGAATTGTATTGGGAATGTTGCGGCCGGAGACCAGGGCGATCACCGTCGACCATGCGACTGGGGCGACCAACGCAAAGGGATGCCCAGCAGCGTCGCAGGAGGGATATGGCGAAGAAGCAGCGCCGTCTCCGCACGAAGCTCGTACAAGTCTGAATGTACTTTGGGAGTGCGCAAGTGGTTGGGGGAGTGAGCTATGGAGCGCTGAGCCGCTTCATTCGCTGCAAGCCCGCATCTCCGATTCGAGCGCTCGATTCTTTGGCAACAGCTGTGAGAGGGGCCCTACCACTGTCTGGCCTGCCGCTCTAGACCCTCGTTTCTTCTCTGGTACATGCAGCAACTTCTTCTATAATGCAGTACACGTCTATGTCCATCGATACAACGACGGTGGGTATGCGCCTCCCTTGCTGCACCGCGGCGGCCACTCCTAGCTCAGATGCCCTCGTCACGTGGATACACGCGCTCGGACCCTTAGTCGCCATTCATGCATCGATCCCGCATGTTCACCATCAACACCTTCTCTCCCAACTCCCCCCCACCACCACCCGCCCGCTGCTCTCCCAATCACCAGCCAGTTCTTTACCGTCCATAATCGTCGCCAAAGTATGAGTCGAGGAGGAAAATTGGCCCCGGAAGTCAACCGGTACGTTCATCTGTCTCCGCATCGCGTGCGCCAGCCAAGGCTGCACCAGCCAACTCACACGACATTTGCGCTAACATGTCATTTGTACAGAGCTCTATTCGTAAAGAACCTGAGGTTGATATAGCCATCCCCTGTCTGTGTGGCTGTGCGCTAACCCCATGGCAGCTTCAACGTTACCCCAGAGGAACTCTTCGATCTCTTTGGCAAGTTCGGCCCTGTGCGGTACGTCGTCTTCCTCGCTATATGCACGCGCATATAGCTTTTGCCGTCACATTGCATCACTAACGGTGACCCCAGCCAAATCCGCCAGGGTATCGCCAACCACAGCAAGGGCACCGCCTTCGTCGTCTATGAGGACGTGATGGACGCAAAATCGGCTTGCGACAAGCTCAACGGCTTCAACTTCCAGAACCGGTATCTCGTCGGTGCGTTCTGCAACCTATCGCCCACTCGTTTCCGCGCTCGCTACTAACTACCGCAGTATTATATCACCAGCCAGATAAGATGCTCAAAGCTGCGAATGATCTTGCCGAACGCCAAGAAAACCTAGAAAAACTCAAAAAACAGCATGGTATTGATTAGGGGTGCGAGAGGCCTCAGGAACAGGTGATATCGCACGAGCAAAGTCAAGACAAGACTCCTGTGGGCCTCAAGACCGATAGCGTAATCTCTAATCGATCCTCGAGTCGCGGCGGCGAACCGCGCTTCTCGACGACGAGAACGACGACCAATTCGACATTAGCGGAAAAAACCGACACTCCTTCCACGCCTCCCTCGGCCAGCGCCTGCCGCAATGGCAACGGCGACTGGCGCGCTCTAAAACAATCGTTGAAGGGCCTATGGAAGTCGGCGCATGGCGCAAAGAGGTCATGATATGTTTACGAACCATGGCAAAAAAGATTGCTACATTTTCTTCAAGAGTGTTGAGAGATCATCTATAGGTCCGGGGATTAGCTAGGTCAGAGAGGATTAAGGCCGAGTCGAGTCGAGTTTTAGATTGTAATAGGGCCTTAGCTTTCCTCTTTCTCTTTCTTTCTTTCTCTCTCACTCTCTTCTTTTCTCTAAACATATCACACGGTCGGCAAGCTTTTTTTATCCAAGCGCCCGAGTCTGAATCAAGGAATTCTCTTCTTTCTTTGCAAACATATATCGACCTTGTTTCTCACTTGTGAAGTCTTATTTTTAATCGGAAAGCGGCAGCCACAACCGTTTTGGCTGGTTTGACGCTTGACTTAGTCTGCCTTGGCTGACAGCTGTCGATCGCCAAATCTGCCCTTTCTCCGCTCATTTCCGCCTCGCCGCAGCCGTTTTGATACTATGGCGCTAGCTAACAGCTATTTGGCCGAGGGAAAGCCTCTTCTATCGTTTCTTGGATTGTCTGACCAAGCCCTCCTTCCCCCCTTTTTTTTGTCTAAAGTCGCTTATGTAAATGCTGACTGTGTCACTTGGGTAAATGAGCTCTGTGATTACCGAGGTCATTTAGAGTCCTATCTCATTTTCTTCTAGAGACAGTATATGCGTGTAATAGCTTTGAGAAGGGGGGTGAGATGTACAGTGATGTTTACGCGTGTTCCTATGTAGATCGACGCTGCTTTTAGTGGTGATTACTGTGCTCGTATTGCTTCATTTTGCACATGAAAATATGCATGTGAGGACTTCCTTTCGGTGCTGACGCATGGAATCTAAGGATTGGTAGGGGGTGACACGTGTATTGCTGTAGGTTGGATGTGGCTTTGCTCCGTGTCGTTTGTAATGAAAGGACATTGTCATTGTCTTCCCTAGGAATCGACTTGGCGCTTTTCAAGGGACTGGATATGGCATTATCGAGAATCTTGACCACTACTACTTTCCATACCGGTCTTTAACGTCGACTTGAATCTGTAGAATCGCTGACCACGTTTCTCTAGCAACAACAGTGTATTTTTCATAACAGTCTTCATACAATGCTATTACTTTAATCCTCCCGATTCAATGCCACACACCCAACACCATTACCCAAACCAATTCTCCAAAGCCTTCCCTAAACCCACCACACTCTCACCCTCCTGCCATCCTGCCCTCATACCCTCATACCCACCGCTTTCACAACACCAACAACAAAACACCCCCAACCAACCAAATCCACACTCCCCATCCTAACCCCATGCCACCCCCTCCACTCCGTCAACCACTCCTCCGCCCTCCCCTCTCCCTCCTCCCCATTGCACAACCCCACCAAAGCCCTCACACTCCTCCCCACAAGCGGTACGAACGCATAATGCGCTGCCGTCGCTACTGCACCAATTGCGTACCAGCGCCTCGCTATGCTTCCCCTTGTCGTAAAAGAAGGACGGAGGAGATAAATATTTGCAAGCGAGAAAGACAAAGTAAGCGTGTTTAGGGCTACGACGGAGTAGATGCCTGTGTTGAAGAACGTGGTGAACCAGGCTGGGATGACGACTTGGTTTGCTTCTTTTAGCTGGTTCACGGCGTCTTCTTTTTGGGTGTGGGGTGAGAGGTCTGAGGGCGTGGGTGGTGATGAGAAGGGGGAGGGCGATGCGAGGATTGCTTTGCTGAGTCTGGAGTTGAGAGGTGGGGGGCTGAGGAAGGCGCTGGTGGTTAGGTATTCCATGTAGGCGTGGGTGAGGGATGCGGTGGAGGTGATGAGGGGGGCGAGGGTTAGGGCTGTGAGGAGGGGTGGTGTGAGGGTTTTTGGGAGACCGATTATTGTAGTCGTCATGGTTAGGGAATCTTTTCTTGCGGATATAAAGTTGAAGGTTTAAATGAAGGCGGGTGGTAATTTGTGGTTTGTGATATGGTTGAAGTTTTGTTATACTTGTTATAGGGGATGTGAAGAGAGAGCCAGAACGTATAAATATCGATTCACGTCACAGTGGTGTGATATATGCTTAGCCGGCAATGCTGGGAATCCTTCTTCTGATGCTTCGGTCTGGCTGGTGGCCTAATGGCGAAGCCAATCAACCTGGTGGTTGGAGAAAAACAAACTGTGCAATGAAGGATATCATGATATATTGAAATAGCCATTTACTTGAACATTAGAAGATGCTATGCTTTTGACCAGTTACCAATAACGCCCATTAAATGCAAACTCCATCACCGTGCGAAACCAAATATCCTTCCACGTGTGATATCAAAACAACATCTACCATCCTCGCCTCTTGCCCCTCTCATCGGCGCTCCTCTCCTTCCTCTTGATCCTCTTGACATCGTGTCTCCTGCGCTTGTCCTTGCCAAACTTCTCTGGATCAACAATCGCCTCTACCTTTCTCTTTCTGCGTCTCTCTTCCCTCCTTTCTCTGACACCTTTCTGTACTTCTCCCATGATCTTCAAATACTCTTGCGTTCCAAGGCGCTTCTGCAAATTGTTCATGACTTCACGAGCTTTATCAGCAAGGGCCTTGTAGGGATCATTGACCGTGTTGTTAGGGCCGATCTGTGCAGCGGACCGAGGAAAGGTTGCAGTGGCATTGGTGAGGGTAGATAGAGTGGTCAGGAGGTGTGGGAGAGAGGTGGAAAGAGGTTCGAGAGGAAATTTAGCGGCGATAGTGTCGAAAAGGTTCATGATTGCGGTCTTGGCATTCATGGTGCTCTTGTCTTTTCGAACGATGCCCGAAAGGCGGATCATGAGGCGATGGATTGCTGTTGGTGGAGAGTCTTCCATCTTCTTGGGCTTGATATTCTCTGGCGGAGGCGAGAAGCCATCAAAGTCCTCCTCATCTTCTGTAGCGACTGCATCACCGGTGGCCGCAATGGTAGACTCTTCCATCTCCTCATCCTCGTCAGCCTTCTGCCACTGCCACTTCGCTCCGTTAACAGCGAGGCATCGCGCGATGAAGGCAATATTCTTGACACTTTGCAGGCAAAGCTGTTCCGAGACTTCTGGGTTCAACAAGTTTCGCAAGAAAGCGTTGCACAGCTGCGTCATGTTCTGCTCAGCCAGCTGTAAACCGCCAGACCCCTTTAGTGGCAGTGCTCCAAGGCCTGAATCCTTGTTTGAAATTCCAAGGTGGGCAAAGTAGGTGCCCAGCAGCTCTGCAGCTTTAAGCTTGACCCACATGTGCGGGTAGGTAGCGCTGGCTTGGACTGCGGTCCACAGTCCATCTTTGCTTGACGAGAACATGGTGTCTGTA